GTGTCTGCCCTCTTGATATATTGGATAGTGGCACCTGACAGAGGATGTCTCACATATAAAATGGCTGAGCCCTCTAAACTGTGCCCTCAAAATGTGTGTGCATAAAACAGTTCATTGGGGTGGGGTGAGGTTTAGTGATTTAATATTTATAAAGTGCTTTGGGTAAGTGCAAAATCTGATAATCATTCTGAAAGTGGAACTGAGTCTCTCTGCCCTTGCAGAGCATTAAGGATGGTGTGAACACTGTGCTACTTTAAAAGCCCAGAGTGCAGTCAGCCCTGTCCCTGGATTACTTCCTACAAAGATGGAGGAAGTGACAGGAGGAGGACTTCCAGTCAAAACCCTGTCTTGGGGCTGGTGGAGGAAAGGCTGGTTTTGCTTCTTTTCTTGAAGATAAAGTTCAGAGTAACCTGAAACCACCATCTGGGACAGGCATTGATCAGCTGTTCACCTCTGGTTCTGCGAAGCAATCATGTGAAGGTGGTCTCACTCCTGCAAGACCACCCTATGCTTCAGCAGGAGTTCTGGGTAGAATCATGCCCATGACATTTTTATTGAGGCTACAAGAAGGCAGGTAGGTAGGTAAGTGTCAAGAAAAAGGACCTTGGCACATCAATGCCTCAACATTAATTCAATCACAGGCTTAAAGCAGTCAGTCATCCTGGGCAGGGCAAGATATTATCTGCTTTCATTTAAATAATGTCTTAATTGTAGGTTGTGTCTTTTGTGATATATGCCATCATGTGCCAGCAATGCCCCTCTGCCATGTATATTGGCCAAACTGGACAGTCTCTACGTAAAAGAATAAATGGACACAAATCAGACGTCAAGAATTATAACATTCAAAAACCAGTCGGAGAACACTTCAATCTCTTTGATCACTCGATTACAGACCTAAAAGTTGCAATTCTTCAACAAAAAAACTTCAAAAACAGACTCCAACGAGAGACGGCTGAATTGGAATTAATTTGCAAAGTGGATACAATTAACTTAGGCTTGAATAAAGACTGGGAGTGGATCGGTCATTACACAAAACTATTTCCCCATGTTTATTCCCCCGCCCTCCACACACTACTGTTCCTCACATGTTCTGGTCAACTGCTGGAAATGGCCCACCTTGATTATCACTACAAAAGGTCCCCCGTTCCCCCGCTCTCCTGCTGGTAATAGCTCACCTTGCCTGATCACTCTTGTTACAGTGTGTATGGTAACACCCATTGTTTCATGTTCTCTGTGTATATAAATCTCCCCACTGTATTTTCCACTGAATGCATCCGATGAAGTGAGCTGTAGCTCACGAAAGCTTATGCTCAAATAAATTTGTTAGTCTCTAAGGTGCCACAAGTACTCCTTTTCTTTTTGCGAATACAGACAAACACGGCTGCTACTCTGAAATCTTTTCATTTTGTAATTGACTATCTTAACTTTGAGTAATTCACACTTAGCAGCATCTCTGAGTAACACAAGTGTATCCCACCAGACCTCAACTTTATGTACTTTGTGTTGTATGATACTTTACTTATTCTTATTTTATTATGATGACCAATTTGTCCCTGGGGCAGAAGGACCTCATTTACCTCTTTTGCAATACAGAAAACTCTCCATGTTGTTTTCAAAACCGTTAAGGCTTTGAAAAGTCCTCTGATTTTTTTTTTTTTTTTTTTTTTTTGGTACCAGAAAGCCTACAGGGCTGCAGAAGAAAATGCTGACACAGGTCGGCTAATGCAGAAGGAGCATAGACGACCCGCCCCCCGCTGAGTCTTACTGAATTGCAAATGGAGCTTCAGACTAAGAAATGAGTCATTTGCTTGTTAGAAAACATACGCACAGCGCTGAGGATCTGGAAGCAGATTTCGGTGCCACTGATCTCTGGCTGTGGTCAGATTTTTGTTGTCGTCTTCCTGTCAGCCAAGCATTGTTTCTTGAAGGCAGATATCCATTGACATAAAACGCAAACATGACTTCCTGGAGAAAGGCAAAAATAGATAGCGTTGGCTAAATTCAGTTGGGGACATTGTTTACTAATGACTTCGGCCTTTCATCATCATCCTCATCATCACTCAATTCAGAGACAGTGCATGAGCTTTCAGGGACAGCAATGCAGCTAACAATGAGGACTATTGTATATGTATATGGTATCACTCATCCCAGAGGATCCCCAAGTGCTAAGCACACAGGATTTATCTTCACCACTACTGAAATGTAGCCACCTGGCGGGTGAGAGCAGCAGCCAACTGGTGCTGAGCAGTCAGGGAGATGGGAAATGCTGGCTGGGACATGAAAAGTGCCCTGGAATTTTTAATATCCCCACAAAGCAGGTGTAACCCACTGGTGATTGTACATTCTGGTTTCCCATCTGTGCTGATCCACAGAGGATATCAGTTGTTACAGCCACAGGTCCAGATCTTTAGTTCAAGATGTAGTGGCTGATGGTTTTAGCTCTGGAAGTCCCGGTTCAATCTCTGGTGTGTTGGCCGAGATGGCAATTGTCACACAGGGAGGACATAAGTTTTTAAGCTGCCAAACTAAAGACCCACACACAGTAAACTGCAGGGAGCATGAATGTATTTTCTTCGGAAGGAGGGCAGATAGAGTCGATTGTGCTGAAATATGATGCAGGTCTAGGAAAACTGGGTATTTCAAATAATTAAATCATCCCCTCTGAACTTAAAGCTACAGACCATATACAAAACCCTTGGTTCTTCAAAGAAAACCCACATAAAGGCCCAGAAATCTGTTCTCTGTTTCCCTAAGAATTTAAGGACTCTAATCTAAGAATCCTGGGCTGCTAACTCAGAAGAATCTCCGTTGATTTACGATTTTTTTTCTTGTGGATTTTTGTGGCATTGCTGAATGAGAGGGAGGAACACCTCTTACAGATTACTACCATCAGCAGCTGCATATGGTCACTTAATATTTATTGATGGACCTCTAGTACCATCCACAGATGCTCTTTGTGGTCACTGGAGCTGCACAGTCATAGTGGAAATGGGGAGAATCCTCTGATTTTACATGGCTGGCTGAGGTTTCATCTCAGATATGTTTAATTGCTGGACACACAGTTCAGCCCGGTGGGAGATTTAATTAGAAGTATGGGGAATTTATTTATAGAACGATGGAAACAGATGCTCTGTCTTTGAGCCAGACAGGTAGATTCAAGGGTTGTGGGTCCAGTCCTGTTCAGAGTTGACTTACGATCATAGTTAAAGTTTGTCCATGATGATATTGACTGGTAGTGATGCTCATTTCTCACAAAGTCAACTGGCTCTCAACATCCTTTTGGTGTTCCTTGACCCCCAAATGCTCCAAAATGAGGCCATTTTCTTTCTGATCTCCATATAATCAGGGGGTTCTTTAATCTGATACCTTGTAATAAAGCCTTTGTAGATGTCCCTGCTCTTTTGGAAGCACATTGAGCTTACCATATGGCTGGGGAATACTGAGGCTACATTTGTGATTTGATGCTGATTAATTGGTAATTTTATCTGCCCTGTCTGTATTTTTCAAAAACAAGAAAATGCTGTTAATTAAGCCCTTGTTAAAGTGCCATTGTAAACAGGAAAGTGTTTCTGTAAAAACAGCATTATGGACTTCCCTGTTTATTCTCTCTCACCATCTTCCACATCAAATTTACTCAGTTTGCAAATCAAAAGATGCAGAAAGTTTCCTAGCTTCCATGACTACATTGTTGATGCACTAGGCAGCAAAGATGCCAGTTCATTTCCCCCTATCTGCATTAGCTCTGCAACGCTTTGGGGTAAGTGCTTGTTTTGTTAGTAAATTAAGTGTTGTGACTTGAGGACATGCAGGGAGCAGATATGGGAAATAAGGAGTTGCCATTTTCACATAGTCATTTTCCCAATTACATCTGCAGCTTTAATTATAATACTCTGCACTTCTGTAGCACCTTCCATCTTAAGATCTTAAAGTGCTTTAAAAGCTATGGAATACTGAATGAGAATGAGTCTTCATAGTAAGTAAGGAAGTATTATTATCCCCATTTTATAGATGGGGAAGTTGAGGCACGAAGGAGGACTATGCCAAGGAATACAGCAAAGCTGGGAATAGAACCTTAACCTCATGACACCCCACCCTGTGCTTTGGCCACAAGAACGTCTTTCCCCTCTCTTCTGTGTGAAGTAGATAGACAGACAACTTCGGAGTCTGGGGACTGAATAATAATTATTGACTATCAAAGAAATCTTACTCTTCTGTGCTGTGTAAGGATCTCCCTGTTATCAATAACCCTTTCTAATAACGGATCATGTGCATTAACGTTTCTGCTTGGCCAGAAATTTCCAGTGCTTCATTACTCATCACATGAGTACTCTGCATCTTATGTTTCCCAGATGAGGTGAGTGGAAATGGCTGGAGCTGTAAAGTACCGATTTCTGGAAGCAGTAATCCAGTGGCCTGCAAGTTAAGTAACTCTGGAAGGACGTGATTCTTTTTTAAGTCCACATAATTCATGTTGACATCTCAACAGGCAGACATTGTCTTCCGCTGTGCTACAAAAAAGTTTAGCTTTATGTTACTCAGAGTAATATTCCGGCAGCTCCAGGCTAGTAAGGGCCACAAAATTGTTCTGCTCAGACCTTTGTCTGGAGTTAGTTCAATGACTCCTTCCTGTACTATCTGGAGTAGAGCAGAGAAAATGAAATTTACAGAACACTCCTTAGCCCAGACTCTGCCCTATTCCACTGGTGTAAATCCAGAGTAATTCTTTTGATTTTAGTGAAATTATGCTGGATTTACACTGGCTTAATTTAGAGCAGAGTGCGGCACACTGTTGGTCCCACAAAGACATCCTATGTATTTTAATTAAAATGCTAGCAGGGGTTTGTTTGTGGTTGATGGATTATATTAATCTGAGTTTTAAAAGTTGTAATACTGAGGAATGTGGAGCCTGAATGACCCCTTACCATTTTCCCAAAGAATATTTAATCATTAGTCTCTAGAGGAGCGTCAGAGCTCTAGAACAAGGGATAAGAGAGGGAGGGGGGCAGTCCAAAGGGAGTGTGTGTGTGGGGGGGACGGACACATGTTTGAGATCTGAAAGGAAACTAGGCCAGAAAAATGCAGCAGATTGTTTCTAAAAGGAAGATACAAGAGGCTTTGATATGGATATGTTCGCTGCCTTGCAAAGACACAGCGCTGGAGAAGCTCTTTATCAGTGTCAAATTATGACAAATGACACTGGGGGAAAGTCACGGGGCTGCGGAACATTGTCGCAGCTGCAACACCTTGGAAATTATACAGGTATTTTTACTGTTCTGTGCCTTGGGGTTCCATTTCAGCCTTAATTAATCACAGAGAAAAAGGATTGTCGTCTTCTCTATTCTTTTTAAGTTCTTTTTGTAGCACAGCACATAGCTGCTAGGATGGGTGGGGGAATTACACGTGGACACATTTGGGGAAGATAATGCCCCATCCTTAACGAGCATAAAAATGCATTATTGCATTGGTGACAAGAGTAATTACAAAATGTGTCATCTGCCCTCATGTCAAGAGGAGTGCAACGCAAAAGCGAAATGGGAGAGGGCGGGGGAAGTAAGCAACAGCAATCAAACCAGGGCAATAAAAGCCAGGGACATTTCCTGCACTGTTTTGCTGGAGGGTATAAATGGTACAAACCAGTGTACTGATTTAAAAAAAAAAAAATCAAGCCAGAGTTTCTTCACATTACCTCCAGTTTCTTTTTTAAGAGTTCCCTTGAAACCTTGTCTATATAAATGTTGAATTATATGGTTCTTTGACTCTTTACTAGAACTTGCTCTGAATTATATTTTTTATATAATCTGTTTCATTTCCACCATTCTGCCATATCTCACAGAGGAATATCTGTAACTGTCAACTGGCACATTCTTCTGTTGCTAGACTGCTGTGCTGTGTCTTCTAATAAAGCTGCCCTCTGTTCCACTACAGGGCAGTAATCTGTAATGAAAATTTGATGTGAGTGGTTAGGAAATGGGGTTTGAATCTGGGTATTATGCATGAGTTTCATATTATTCTAGGCATATATACAGTATTTGGGGGTTAAAAAATAAAAGGAATTGTTTCCCACCAACTGTATTTTTATTGGAACTCCATCATAGAAACGTAGGGCTGGAAGTACCACTGGTAGAGGTATGTGAAATATTTGTAGCCAAGCCCTCAACCCATATGAAACTTTCCTAGTTTGATTATAAATTCAAAATTCAGAAATATGCTTTTCAGAAAGGTTCAATGAACTTTCCAGTGACCTTAGTAGAGATAGTTGTGCCAAAATTACCTCCCCCTTTGGTACTTTTGCTTCCCATATACATTAGATCCTATAACGAACATTTCCCCCCACCATCACGTATCGGATCATGTTATATATATTTGATCCTGTTCTGTGAGTTCTTCTTCACCCAACCAGTGTATCCTATAATGTTCAAAGTGCTTGGGTCTCTGTGGATACTCGGGGAACTGAGGATGTTGGTAGTCCGAGTATGAATCTGATTCTCCTCTGATTTACTTAATAAGGGATAACTGTATTGAAGCCAATGTTCATCTTTCAACCAAGGTTCTCAAAGTACTTTAGAAAAGCCTGAAATCACCTGTTGGAGGTATGTGTTCCTATTTTACAGATGTATAAACTGAGGCACAGTGGAATGAAATGACTTGTCCAGTGTCACATGAGTCAGTGGCAGAAATGGAAGTAGAACCCAGACATCCCGACACCCATTCATTTTCACTAACCACTGGACTGACTTCCCTATGTCTCTCTCTTCTGTATAGAAATATCCATATCAGTATACACTCCTACTCCTCTAGGCAGGGAGTAATGAAGCAGGGGTGATATTGCAAGGAAGCCAAATATAAATGATGATACATTTTATGTTAATTTTTGATTCCTTGAAAATCCTGTGGGAGAGTGTGGAGTTGTGTTGCAGAATCTAGCATTTCCCCATTCACACAGCAGATGTGCTGGAGTTGTTGTGTATTGATTTTATAACAACAACACTTTGCATGCTTTATAGACATTTTTATGGCATTTAGAAAAGCCATAATATCTGAACTCCTCCTAAACTCTATTGAAATTATTCTTACACCCTGTGAAGTGGGGAAGTAGTATCTCTATTTTAGGAGGGGAAACTGAGGCATAGAGATTCAATTACTTGCCCAAGATCGCACAGGAAATCTGTGTCAAAGAGAATCTACATCTCTAGTCTCACAATTATTAGCTTACCCACAAGACCATTCTTCCTCCATTCTCTTCCTTTGTAGCCCTTCCATCCAAGGCACTCTAAGCACTTTACATTCATTCATAAATTCCACACAACATCCCTGTGAACAGGGTGGGTATTATGAATATGGTCCCCTTTTTATTAATTATTATTTATATCCCCCAAAGAGAATGAAGACTGTGCACTTTCTTCACTTACCAGCAGGTGCCTCTGCAGTCAGTGGGAATGAATAGACACACCACAGGAATGTCATCATTATTATTATTTTTTACATTTGTAAGGCTGTAGGGGGCAGGCAGGAATTATTGAACCCCAAACACACCACGCAGAAGTACTGTCTCTACCAAATGGTATTTCTTTTCTTTGCCCTGGCACATTGAATGCTTGTACAGTTCACATGATTTCCAGGCTGTTTCTCTGAACACTAACAGATAGAAATTATTTTGTTTAGTTGTTGTTTTTGGGTTTGAAAGCAACCTGGTCCTTCATCAGATGATGGTAAACCCTGGAGCCCTAGTATGATACTGCAGCTTTAATTACTTAGCCATGCTGTCACCATTCTCATGGAAACTGACAGTGTATGGGGTTACAGCCTCTTAAAAGCGGTGAGTACAGGCACAAATGAGGTTACTTGAATGTTCTCAAGGTTTTATCTGGAAGAAAGGCATCTTGGGCTTTCCCCTTTCCTCCCCTAACTATATTTAGCTCTTCCTACTTAAGGTTCTTTCAATACCCTCCTTTTCCCCCTCTTGATCAAAACAAGGACTAGGCCCAAGATATTTTTAGGACGAGTGAATGTGTATTTTTAAAGTTTGATTGCACAGTTGTGTTTTCCAGGGCATGAGTTCTACCTTCACTTTCCCCTTAGAGTGTTGAAGGATCAATCAAAATTTAAATTAAATAGACAGAGCTACAGCATAATCACTCTTCCCAATGGAGAGAACAAAAGTCCACCTTTGATCTATGGAGGAAAAAAAAGTGTTCTTTCGGCACTGATGTCACCAGAGAACTATATTTAGGATCTTAATAAACCAAAACCAAAAGCCCACATGGTTTACAAATAGTTAAGGTTGGCTCAGTGCCAAATATACCCGCACAAATCCTGTCGTATGAAACTAATCATTAAAAATAATATTAGTTACTATTTGCAGAGGACTTGGAAGATGTAGAGTGCTATATATGGGCCTAATCCAAAGCCTGTTGAAATCAATGGGAATCTTTTCAGAGACTTTAGTGGGCTTTGGATCAGGCCCTGTAAGAGCTCTGTGGTGTTAATACCATTATTGTATTTCATGGTGCTGATGTAATCAGAACTTTCTTCTAGGTCCCAGTCCATACAAGAGGATCTTTGCTCCCGTATGGAGTCTTGTTGACAACAATAGGAGGTGAAGGAGGAATAAGGGTTGACCCATAGGGTGGCTCAGGAGGAGTTCTAATGTGTATGTGGGGGGAGGGGGGCGGGGTGGGCAGATTACCCAACATCTGCCTACTGAAGTGTTTGGTACTGGCCACTGTTAGAGACAGGATAACGGGTAGATAGGTATCAGGTCTAATCCAGTCTGTTGTTCCCATGGCCAATGCAGATCCCTTTGCAGAACTGGGGTCTTCATTTAGTTGCTGTTGTCACTGGGTTTTAAAGACGTGAATGGCTAGGCATTGTTATTATGTTCTCTTCCACAATGCGTATGTTCTCAGAGGTTATACAGGTGAAACCCCTATTTTATGAACTCTGATTTGAGGAAATGCCATTTCATTCCCAAATGCCTTTGTGTCCCTTTCATCTGAGATTAGGTTACTATACCTTCTCTTGAGCTTACCAAAGCTTTTGGTGTCACCCAAGTCTTATGCAAAACTGAGGTTCTAATGTATTTCAGAACCATGCGGTAACAAGAGGGCTAAATTTAATGGGGATCGCTGTGGGATTAGACTTTTCAAGCAGAAGCAAAATTCAGCATTATTATTATTCTTGTCACCAATGAGACAGAGGAATAGCTTAGTGTGATACACTGGGGTATACCTAGGCCTAATGGGATGAAACTAAGAAAAGAACATTTAGACTCAGTATCAGGAAATTTCTGGCAGTGAGATGTATTAGGCTGTGAAATAATCCTTAGGGAAGCAGTGTTGCTTGGGGTGTTTTAAAACTAAATTGGGCAAAATACTAGAAAAGGTTCTGTAGAGAACAATCCTGCACTAGTGGGGAGGTGGCCTGCAGGACCTAATAGGTGTATTCTTCCTGTAACTTCTGTGATTCTCTGATAATGTATATATAGCATCATAGGGGAATATGGTGCTTTAAAGAAACAAGGCAGGATTCTGATTTGAGCACAATCAAGAATAACTCCACTAATTTAGATTTAAACCGGTGTACATGTCTGACACCAGACTCTGGCTCCCAGTTTAACAGTGTTTTGCTCAACAGGCCTGCAGTATGTAAATGAACTAATGCCACCAGTGTTACAATTGGCTGAGTTACTCCTGAGGTCACAATCCCATGCCTTGGTCCATCTGTCCTCCACCATTGTCCTGAGAGGAGGACTTCTGGGAATTTGATGGAGGACACGTCAGCTTGAGGGACTCACTCCTGGTACCACTGAATCACAACTGCTTTTCACCCTGCTACTTCACATGGCGAACCAGTTCCACTCATTCTTTGAGACGAGCACAATGGCACTGTGTAAAGAAGAGACTATTCCGATGACCCTGGACATGCTGACGAGTAAAAAAATGGAGACAAATAATCCTCAAGCCAGATGCCTCCTCTCGACGCTGGCATCGGCCATGTGCAGCCAACATGCATCAGACATGGAAAAACTGCGGCAAGAACTGAAAAACGTGCAGAGGGACATGAAGGATTTCAAGCAAGAGGTCACAAGGGTGATCTGTAAAATAGACGGCACCCTCAGCTACATGATGGAGGTGGTAACAAGACTTGAAACCAGAAGCAACCACATGGAGCAGCGGCTGAGGGAAGAAGAAGACAGAGGCATAGTACGGAACAAAGTACTCACATTCTTGCTGCCGAGGGAGAAAGAACTGCGGGAGAAATGTGCTGATCTAGAGAGGAGGCTTTGGAGGAAAAATGTCTAGGTATATAAATCCTCAACGACAAAGGGGAAAAATAATTGTGTTGTACCTGAGAACTGCTCTGGACTCACAAGCAAGACTAATCTTTTGAATACTAAGTGTAAGAGCTGAGCACTTATGCCAAAACCCTCACTATTTGGAAACCAAGCTATAAAAAGAGGGACTTTATACCATTCATGATTTTATATACCACTTCTTCGTTTGCTGTCTAAACTAAATTGCCCTGATCTTTTAACTCTCTCCTCAGACAGAAGACTGTCCATTACTTTATTTTGTTGCCCTTCTCTGCACCCTTTCCCATTTCTGCCACTGCTGCTAGTGAGAGTGCGGGGGCATTTGGAACCTGAAAGGATCAGGCCTTATACATTTAGTGTTCTGCTGACATCACAAAACAGGAGTGATCTGTGTCATCAGATCCACCCCTTTGGAGGTGATGTCTGTGTAGAGTCACGTGGTGCCTGATCTAAAGCCTACTGACCTCAACAGACATACTCCCAGTGACGACATTGGGCTCCGAGCGTGCCTGTGACTCCCAGTTACCTGTGCCTCATCTCTGTATGCAGCAACTGATGCTGCATTACTGAGTTCAGTGACACATGCATGTAGCGGAGGAGAGAATTTAACCCTATAGAACGAGGGGGGCTTTGGTGCTAGTACAGGAAGTAACCTCTGTTCCCCAGCTCTGACTTCCCTTCCATCCTGCTATACATTATTCCTTCTTGTTGTCTCAGACACCATTGTCTGGCCCCAGTCTCTTCCTCTGAGTCTCCCATAATAGCATATAAAACATACAAAAATAACTCCAGTGTTGCTCATTTTCCCCCTCCATTCCAGAATAAATAGAAAAAGACATTTTAAAAAGGCAGCAGCAACGGAACGGATCACAGATGGTGATTTTTTTTTGGTAACACTATTTCTCTCTAAAGTTTTTTTCCCCTTTGACTCTGCGCAGGCTCCACTCGTTTCCAAGCTCTCCCCCTGGTCAGTGTGGATGGTGCTGCTGCTGATCTTATGGATATTGATTCCATCTCACAGAAATGTGTTGCAGCAAAGGGAATTCACCCTGTTGACCTTCAGCTCTCTCTCTGCTAGGAATCAGTGACGCACAAATGAATGGCAAAAGCCATATGGACTATGGGGGAAAGGGAGAATATTTGCTGGTCTCATTTTATGGGATAAACCTTTTGGACAAATCTAGTTAGATCCAAGTATCCTATAAAATAAAAAACCTTGTTTCCCGAATTTATCATCACATCTCCAGTACCCTTTCATGTAAAGAAAGGCTCTGAGTTCATATTTTCTTATTAGTGATGGAGGGGAAAGGGAGTCTTGTAGCTGAAGAACAGATTTGGGAGTCTGAGGATCTGGATTCTGGTTCTGCTACTTGCATGACCTTGGACAAATTACTTAGCTTCTCTGTGCCTCAGTTTCCCTATGTGTAAAACATCCCCCTTTCACAGGGATGTTGTGAGACTCAGTTAAGCCTCACAATCCCCAAATGGAAGGCTCTATAGACAGGAAATTTTATGGTACTGTAAAATAAAATGTCTGGTATGTCTATAGCTATATGTGTTAGCTGCAACATCCAGATCTGGATCCAAGCTCTTCCAAAGTTTGTGGGGGATTTAATCAAGAGTTTTGACTTAGGCCCTGTAGTTTTAATAGTTACAGGTGAATCAGACCTTAAGCTGTCTGCCTCAAACTTTGTGGGTTTAAATATAATGGAAACCTTTCTTTTCCAGATCACAGCTGACCTTGGGGATTGATTAACAAACCCCAAATGACCCTGTTTTTGCCCTATCTCTGCATCAGATCCTTTTCCTTACTCATATAAAACAACCTATATTCAGTCTCCTTTCATCGTGGAGAATCTCAAACAACATTGCAAACTATGTCTCCAGTCCTATAAGCGAATTCATTTGGACAGATCCCTGTACCTGTACAGAGTCCCAATGAAATTCGTGGGGACCTCTGCACAAATCCCAGGGCAAGATCAGGGCATAAATACATACAGTAACAGTAAAATGCAGCCACATCTGGGGTGTAATGTGCTAGTCAGTGCACTGCACAACAGTGTGTGGAGGGGAAATTTTAGCCAAAGCCACCAGCTGAAACCCTTCCTGTTACAGAAATTGCCATAGGATCATTAATCTCTCTGCAAGGGCTTTGGTTTTTAGGTCTTAGGAAAAAGTCCCTCACATCTCACACTGTAAAATGCATGGAACTGAGGTTATGTACCTCAGAAGGATGAAGGGCTGAGTCAGTGTGCGTGGATTCAAGCCAACATTTCCAGGAAGTCAAGGTGTTTCCAACCTGCACATACACACTTTCTACTTCGATTTATGTTGTACCAATGTGGGCTGGCTCACAGGATAACAGCAGGAAAATATTGCCCTGAATTGGTGGGGGGGACAATGTGTGCCATCTTGTAAAGTCCCTGAAACCAAAGACTGACAATGGGATGCACAATGGAGGGAGCTGTTTGTTGGCCCCACCCTTAACCCTTCAATATGGGGCATGCAGGCAGACCCCTACGCTAAGTCAGTGGGGTCTGTGAGGGCATACGTCTCCTCCCTCATCCATTACATTGTAGGATCAGGCCTGATGTTTGTCACTGTGTTTGCCCTCTGGCCTGGTAGGTTCCTGCTTTATTTTCCTTCTGGATTTGGTAAGGAATGAAGTGTATAATGAGGCAGTAAAGTAAGTACATATTAATTTTCTCCATTTGCCTGCAGTGACCCCCCTGTCTGTTCCAGCTCCTGTACAGTGTTTTCATCATCATCATTATTACTTTAGGAAAACTAATTACATTTCACAAGATGGAAAAACAATGGGCATTTTTCCAATTCACCTTCAGCCTTCTCATTTCTGTTGCTCCAAATGCACCAGGGATCAGTATTCTGATCAGGAGGGGTTTCATGGGGAGTTAAGATGTCTTTAAATTGATTGTGGGGGCTGCTGTGTAAAATTCAGGGCAGGGTGTGTGTGACCAAAAATACACTGGACAGTGCAGCTAAACAGGGATTCCTTAAACTGGGGCTGCTGTAATGGCTGGGGCAATGCACTACACATGTGCACATCAAGGCAGGTAGCTGCAGCTGTGCATGTAGCTGGCTTGAGGCAGGCAAGGAACCAGCTTCCAGCTAATTCTTTGCCCCTAACTCAAGTGGGAGGGTATAAAGCAGCCACATGAGCTGCTTTGGGGATCACTGAACTCAGCACTGCAGAGAAGAGCTGGCCTGGAGGCCCTGGCGTCCCTAGAGTTTGGAGAATCATGCTGGGTAAATAAGGGGCTGCATGGAGGGGAGAGAGGAAATGAAATGTGGGCAGGGTTTGGGGTCTAAGAAAATGGCACGGAGGGAGGGGTGAGTCAGTGGAACCCAAGGGGAGGAGGAGTTGTTATTTGGGCAAGTCCCAGAGCGTGTGGAGATGTGCTGGGGCTGCGCAGAGTGTGGCTGCCGGGAGGCAGAGCAGAGACGAGGAACAGTACTGTGAGCTAGTGCATTGACTGACCTGGAAGCCCTCTTTCTCCCACCCCTCCCCTATGTGGATTGAGAAGGGAAATATATAAGGGGCTGTTTTAGACCTCTCCCCCTTCCTCATCACCATAAGGGAGTAGAGAGGAAAGGAAGGGAGAAATGCTGGCGGGATGGAAAGGGTAGGGGGGTGGAGAGAGAATGAGCTGGGGAGGCAGGATGCAGGGAGGAAGGGAGCTTGGAAGGGGAAGAGAGTTTTTATTTACCCCAGTGTTTGGCGCATAGGCTGTAATGCAGCGGGGTTTCCCTCCACTCTCACTGTTGCAGTGATAGCAGTCAGTGGTGTTCTCTTGTGATTGCTTAAGAGAACGGTTTAAAAAACTTTTCAAGCGAATGTGTATTTAAAATAACATCCCCTCATGTATTCTCAATAGTGAAAGAGTTTTACTTGAGATGGGAGGAATGGCCCTTCCTGCATAGCAGAAACTATCCCCAGCTCTCAAGTGCTTCCACGATTGTTGCCTTTGAGAGTCATCAGATTGTACCAAACAAGCTGGATTTTCAAAGAAGGCTACTGGGGCAGGATGCCCTCCTGTTTTATTTCCATGAAAGTTTGTTATTTCTGTGGTTCTCCATCTCTTTCCCAGAAAAATTCAAACACTGTTTTCACCAGCTGATGGTCTGAGATGTAGCATTTGCATTTGGATCCAGACTAAATTCACGCTGAGGATTGGAATTAGGATTTGAGGGTGAGCAGGGTAAGGTTTGCTGGTGCCAAAATCTCAGCCCTAAAAGTGCATCTGAACCATCTCTGGGACATGGCCCATCTGTGCTTGAAAATAAACCTGTAGAGGTGGATTTGGAAGCAGGGGCTTGAATTTGATACTTGCTGCGGTTCTCTCTCATCCCCATCTCCAAATAGGGGAGGAGGGGTTATTTCAGCTTCTAGTTCAGGCCTATTTCTGATTCTAACGTTGGCAGTGCAGGGTCTAGATATTGTGTCCCACAAGAGAAACAGGGCCCTCTGGGGCCTCTTCAGATTATGAGGTTCAGATGCTCCCTTATTCATATGTGAAGCCCTCTGGAACTCTGATGTCAACTGATACAGGTACTCAGCCTGTCTGAATGATTTTTGAATTGTGGCCCAGAAGCTATGCACTCTTTTGTCAGAGAGATCCTGGGACAGTGACCACTCAGCTCTTCCTTTGTGTAATGTCCAGTCCACCCACCAAAATTAGAGAACCCTTCCTTGCCTCCACGTTACCTGGATGGGAAAGAAGTTTAGCTGATGCAGGCTTCTTTGTCACCAGCAAGATCATTTTCATTTCTGATTGTATGTAGACGAGCTTCCAGGCTTACCTATTCCTATTTGAATTTAACACATCTATGCGAAACGTACCATATTAGATAGACCTCTCCAGGGTGGATCAATATTTAATGCGGAATTTACAAAAATTGACTTGAGGACGCATTTAAAATTGGAGTATTAGCCGCAGGTAGCAATTTCTGAGATGCAGCAGCAGAGTTTGATTATTTACTGAGGTGGCATTTTGCAAATTTAAAATAATATTTAGGAATGTGGGGCTGGCTGCAGTGATCTCGCTTCTTAAACTGTTAACTCTTCGATTGTTTTGTTTATATTCAATATTAAACAATGACGCATGATTAATTATTTATCTGCTGTGTACGATGGGTCCAGATCCTCTCCTGGCCATTGTATGCTGTCTGTCATGGGCATTGCTTACCTTAGGTTAAGAGGTAATGTAGGCAGCCTTGAAATGAAAAACAACTCCATATACCTAGCTTTTCTGTAACACTTTTTATCTGATCTCAAAGCACTTTGCAGAAAGGTAATAAGTATCATTAGAACCATTTTACAGAGGGGAAAAGAGGCACAGAAAGGTGAAGTGATTTAC